ACCTAATTTATATATAATTAATATATAATTATATGTACAGTACCTAATTTATATATAGTTTATATATAATACTGTACAGACGATAGTAAACTCAATTTACCCGCCTAAACTCTCCGTAGCGTGGCGCTGGAAGGCGGAAAATAGTTCGGCTGCTCGTCTGCGATGACGAGTTGGCGATGACGTTTTACCGCGTTTTACGCGTTCCTTTATACGAATACTGCCGAAATTTTTTCGCCGCGTTAAAGGAATCTACGTTATTGGAACCCGCGTTATAGGGGGTCTACTGTATACTGTATTGTTGGATGCTGGCAGCTCATTTACAAACCAACAGATAAAACACCAAAAACTTGTATAAGTGTTAGGAATAAAAATATAAACATAGCATTAATCCCATAATTATCATCGAATATCATAACAACGGTGGTAATCCATTTTAAAATTAGTATTATTTTGATTAATGTATACCTTTCGCCATATATGGACGATGCAAAATGAGTGGAAGAGATTGCGAGGATTTTAGGGAGGATAAATATTAAAAATATAATTGTAGCCGGGGACATAAACGCAAAGTCAGCGGTATGGTTTAATGAAAAGGAGGATCACAGGGGACGTCTAATTTTGGACCTAATGGAACAGTATGATCTGGTATCAGTTAATATGACTGACTACCCGACTTTTTTCACGAGCCAAACAAAAGCTTGGACAGATGTTTGTTTAATGTCAAGTGAGTTAGCGCAAAATGTGAAAAATAGTGAAACCCTCCTCTCAATTACAGCAAGTGATCACAGATTCATTAGCACACAAATAGGAAATCTAGAAAACAAAAATCAACAGTATTATTTGAATATGAAAAATATCAACTGGAAACTATACAAAAGATTATTCAATGAAAATTGGAGCAATCACGAATATCCAAAAATGAGAACTACTACAGATATAGATGGCTATGTAGAACACTTGACAAATGACATGCTAAGAGCAGGATGCCAAGCAGGTAAAATGACACAACGGAGACCAAATATGAAAACGCACTGGTGGACTGAGGAATTGGAGAAACAGAAGAAAAACATAAACAGATTAAGGAAAAAATTCCAGAGAGCAAACGACAAGGAACAAAAACAACAATTAAGATTTAAATATAAAATAGAGGTTAAAAAATATAAGAAAAAAATTAACAAAACTCGTACCAAAAGTTGGAGAGAATTTTGCGGTGAATGTAATGAAAAGGGACCTTNGATACAGATAATGATATGCAGTAGTTCATACCGAAAGACCCGTGTTCATACCGAAGATACCGAAGTTCATACCGAAGATACGTGTTCATACCGAAAGACAGTATATGCTTCCTGCATATACTGTCTTTCGGTATGAACACGTTGCATTTTCAGAAGTACTGTAACAGTTTTAGTGAAATTGGAAAATACAGTATCAGTTACTAAAAGAGATTAATTTTAAATATTTTATGTTGTTAGATGAAAACAAAACTCCAATATATAAACTTATATATACAGTAATATTATGCTTAAATATTTAACACTTATTCTAAAATGTTTGCATCATTAAAGTGATTTTAATTAACACTGTTTAAATTGCATTAAAACATGGTTCTCAGATCATTACTATTCTACAGACTGTTTGTGGTAAAGTTTTAGTTTTCTGACAGGTTGTATAACAACATTATGTAACTTATTAAACAGAATAAATGTTATAATAAGTTATTTGTGGACTGAAAACACACTTTAAAATTTAAAATAAAATATAGTAATTGATATCATCTTTCTTCTTCTTCGATGGTGTTTATATGGAGATTATAGCTCAATGTAGGCTCTTTCTCCGAGTAGACTTGTGTTTGTGTATGATCGCTAGGCGACCGATTAGCCGGCTGTATCGCACAGCCATACGTACGCGCGGGAAATAAATGCCTTCCGGGAGGACTTTTATGGGGAACTGGCCTCCTATTCAGTCGTTATAGGCAAGGAGAAAACCCGGAAAACTCCAAGCAGCCAGCCTGTCCGACCGTGGCGCGAACCCACGACGAACCTCCCAGTCTTTAGGGTCTGGTCACCACTACGATGAGCGGCAACGGAGACCACTCGCCCACTGGTGGGGGC